TTAATTATGCTGCATGTTTTGTAATTCTTGGGTGACCTTTCAGATTTATGAATGGGATGTAACTATGAGGAGTAGGAATTATTTAAGGTTGAGTAGGTAGGGAGCCAGCTTTTACACTGGTGGCCTAATTGTCAGAATGAATAGAGTCTTGTGCTCAGGATCCGATGTTTTACCAGTTGCCAAGATATTTCCTTCAGTCTCTTTAGAGAATGCCCTCACATTATTTGCCTTAGGGTAATGTTTTGCAGTTTTCATATGTGTATATAGGAGTAGGAACCCTGGTTGCCCAGTGGTTAAGATCTTGGCTGCTAACCAGAAGGTTGCCAGTTCAAATCTACCAGCTGCTCCTTGGAAACCCTATGGGGTAGTTCTGCTCGGTCCTGTAGGGTCAGTATATGTCAGCATTGACTCCACAGCAACAGGTTTTTAGATCGGAGTAGGAGTGGGACAGTGGAGGAACATCTAGTCCATATACAAACCTTCCGTTAATCTCCCTGCTCTCAAGCCCACTACTGACTCTGACCCTTGATCATGTTTTGTGTCTGGTAACAGTCTTTCCAGGGTTCTGTTAGTCATGTTAGTTTCTACCTCTGCTGCAGCCCCTTCTGTTAATGTCTAGTCTATGGCTCCTTCAACTTAGTTAATTAGTCAGCACTTTTCCTAACCTCCAGAAATTTGTTGAGTTCTGTTGTCTCTTGATGGTACCTCTCATTCTTTTCCTTATTATGGTTTTATTTCTTTTTATTATTTTATTTATCATTTTGATGGCTTTTAAGGAGTAACATGAGGCACATGTCTATTCAGCCTGCCATCTTGAAAAGGAAGTCAGCTTATGCTTCCTTGAAAACAAAATATACTCCTACTTCTAAGGAGAATTCAGTCTACAACTGTAGACTTCAGTGCCTTCCCAATCTAGTTGAGGAGAAAAAGCATGTGCGAAGAGAGATAAGTAGTCCCATTGCTAGCAGGAGCCCTGGATAGAAATACTGGACACATAAAGTATGGGTATTTGGACTGCTCTCACTTGACCCCATATTCCTGTTATTCTTTGAAAATCATTTCAAAAGTTTGGGAGGAGAAAAGTGTATGTAGCTAGGAAAGTGAAAGTCAGTATTTTTATAATTCTGAAGCAAACCTGTGCCACATGAATTTAAAAAGAAAATTGGAATAAAGGGAAGCAGGAGAAAAGGGAACTTTACTTGGATGGAGGAAGAGTAATGCAAATCAGAGGTGTTAGAGGAACTAACATAATACGTGCACATTCAAAATTGGTCTGTCCCATGGTGAGGGGATGATATCTTAGTAGGCATGTCAACAACTTCTTCTAAATTCTGCTTCTTGATTTGTTGGGCCATTGTTTTCTTCATTTATTCATTCAGCAATTGTGATTTTTCCCTAGAGAGAATAAATCTCTATGTTGTCCACACAAGTGGCCCAGATGAAAATATAAGCTCAAACACCGAATGAGTTGCCTTACACAGGTTTTATGGGTAAATTAAAACAAAAATCTATGTTTTTGTTTCGGATAGGCAGAACATCATAGACTGTGAGGCATATCAGCTAGGGATGATGTGTCTTTAGGAATATGGGTGGAAGAAGGAAGATCAAGAAAAATAGATCCATATTAACTTTGGAATGGATCAGATTTTGGAATAAGATATATTAGTATCTTATTCCAAATGTGCCATATGCAGTGCCACCTTGACACTAAAAAAAATAAGGTTTATTTAATGTAGTAGAAGCAGGAGTCAGAAGCTTTTACTTTGCACAGACAATTCATTTAACCACTAAGAGTTCAGTCTGTCTTTTTCTCAAATGGGCGTTGGACTAAATAACCATTAAGGATCTTACTGATGCTAAATCTATAATTTTTAAAAAACTATTTATTGAGTGATAGCTATTTACAAGGCATTATGCTAGGGAGTTCAGAAGATACTAAGAAATATACATTACAATCCCTGACCTTCAGAAGGTAAATCCAGAAATGCAAATAAGGTATAAGGCATACACAAATATCTGCATTACACAGCAGTGTACTGTAGAAACTATACTGAAGAATTCATTAAGTGAAAGAGAAAAGAATTTCCAGTTTGGGGCAATTGAGGATGATTGCATAAAAGGATCATTTGAACTATGCCTTGAAGCTTGAATAAGATTTTGATAGACAGCTCTTAATAGTAGAATGCGTACAGAGTACAGATATAAGAAAATATGAAGTGTGATCAAGGAAGTACAAGAAAGCCAGTTTTACTAATAGAGAGTTTGTGTTTTAGAGTAATAGGAATGGAAGTAGAAATTGTAAGGAGAGGTAAGATGATGAAGGTTCTCACCCAATAGTGAAGAGAGGTATTGTAGACTTTTGAGACTGGAGAATAACAGGCTAAGATTTATTCAGATAGGATATGCAGGTATGGGGGTGCTGTGAAGTAGAGAAGAGACTAGATGCTAGAATATTAATGAAGAAACTATTACAGTCATCCAGCAGGAGATAATAAGGGCCAGAAGTAAGGGTAGTGACAATCCAGTGAAATGGATAGGGCAGATGAAAGAGAGATTATGAGGTAATAATGCACAAGATTCAGTAAATGGCTTGGTTAGATCTAAGGATTGGAATTGGTATGGCTGAAAAAATGGAGGCACTTTTAATAAAAATTGGCAAGTTGAGTGGAGAAGTTGATTTTTGTGGACAAATATAATGAGCTAATTCCCTGCCTTTAAATAAATCTTGATTGCTTATATTGCAGCTATTTTGGTGTAATAGCAATAAAGATAGAATATTCTTCATGAACTCATCTTTTTCTTGCCAAGCCATTGTAGTTTCTTATACTCATTATGTTTTTGCAAAGTATTATAAATCTAAACTGCCTTATTACTTAAACTAATTTGGGAAGGGGGACGATATATGGATAAAACTTTTATGAAGTATTCTGTCAGAGTATCATGAAGAATAACCAGAACTTAGTGGTATATAAGTGCCAGAATTTTATTTAAGATTTTGAAAAGCAATTTTCTTACAAATGATAAAAAAATCTAAATCTAAAAAAACCATAGTAATGGAAAATGGACTCAAGTTGGCAAAAGCACAACTATACAATAGGAACCATGAGGAGATAAATAGTGACAGAATTTTTATTGTGGAAGCAAAACATATGTACATAATTAGTGAGGAGAAAGCTTAGAGATAGAAGAGAGAAAAAAATTAGAAGATGCTGTAGAAATGCTAAAATAGCTTTAAAAATAATTTGTTATTTTAAAGAGTGGGCAGTTGTATTTTTTTTCCTGCATAGCATCAAACAGCAGAAAATGTATTTCTGAACGGTAGATTTCCACGAAGGATTTTCCAGTGTCAGGATGACCTGCACTAGAAAGACGACGTCATGTATCATCTTGCTAGTTTCACAATGAATAGTCTTCTTTTGTGTTGAGTTTTGAAGTGTTGTTTTGATTTGGTCCATGTAATTATTTGGTTATATGTAATTATTTAGCTGCCTTTAGACTCAAAATCTTGGAACAGAGAAGATTTCCTAGTCCAGTATTTCCGTAGGTATATTAGTCATCTGCACTTATAAAGAAGGGAGCTCTGGGAGCAATTAGGTCAGAAAATTTCCGGGTTAAACACAGTTAAACAAGATTTCTTTCCCGTTTTTTTTTTTTGGTGGTTGAGGGAGGGGACTGTGTAGGCACCTCAGAGACTTTAATATGCTAATAATAAACATAATGACTCATCTGAAGAGAAACAACATACGATAGTTAACAAACGTATTTTACCACAAACCCTTTTTTTCGTGGAGCCTCTTTTGGAACCACTGTTCCTTAGAACACATGTTGGGAAACTCAAATCCCTTGAATTCATAAACAAACAGAAAAGAGATTAAATGGCCCATTCAGAACTACTTTTACTTGAAAAATGGGACTTCCAAAGTCTTCCACCATATTGAGTGTTTCTTTCCTTTTGTACCCAAATTTAGAAGTTTCTAAAAACTAGATAATATTCCAAATTAGTTCTATAAGATATACACAAGGTGGTTTACAGACATAATGAAAACTAAAGATGTAATTATTTTTAGTATACTTTGAATTGGCACATTGACTTTGATTAAAAGAGTAGGATTGAAAAAGCCAATTAACGTTTGGTTACAAATTTGCAGTAAGAAAAAATTTTCCACCCAAAATCAACTAGTATCTTTCAAATTATAAAAATCTGCTCCTTTTCCAGCTATAAAAAGCTCAAACCTGCAGTAACATGTATACCAGAAAGTTTCCCCACTTTCCTAGGAAGCAGTTGGAGAAAATGACTGTTTATGGTTTTGTGTGTATTGTTCCAGACTCCATCGCTATATAAATAAACATGTATCTTTTAAAACTTTTTTACACAGATGGCATCATGGTAGGCACATTATTCTTTAGCCTTATTTTTTTTTTACTCAACAATGTTACATGTTTATTTTCCCACATCAATACAAGTAGGTCTAAAAAAAGTGTTTTCTTAATGGCTGTATTATGTCACATTATATGGCTCTACTATAATTTATTTAATCAGTTTCCCATCGATGGGCATTGGGGTAGTTGTAATTTTTTTTTTTTACCAGACAGTGGTGCAGTGAATTTTGTAATTTTTTTTTTTTTTTACTGGACAGCGGTACAGTGAATTTTGATATAGGTCTTTCTTTGAACCTTTGTGTTAGTATGTCTGTAGGAGAGATTTTCTTGAAGTGGAATTGCTGTGTCAAAGAATATGCAGATTTAAATTGTAAGTATTGCAAAATTGTGTTAAAAAATAGTACTAGTTTATCCTCGCATTGTCAGCATTGGAAGAGGAGACTTTAAATTGGTATAAGTTTCACAGAACTTTTTGAAAAATAGTTTATACTTTTGTAATGGATAACAAAGAATATCTTGCTGTGTTAATCTTAAAATTATAGAGATAATTTATAAAGCAGTGGTACTCATGATCTCTCTCTCTTTCTGCTTCCCCTCCCTTTTTAAAAAACTCTTTACAGAGCAAATTGTTCATGGAAGGTTTTAGAAGCCTAAAAGAAGGAGAACCAGTGGAATTCACATTTAAAAAATCTTCCAAAGGCCTTGAGTCAATACGGGTAACAGGACCTGGCGGGAGCCCTTGTTTAGGAAGCGAAAGAAGACCTAAAGGGAAGACACTACAAAAAAGAAAACCAAAGGGAGATAGGTAATCATTTTACTTTGTTAATTTATGAGTTTGTTGTATTTGGAAAAGATTTCTGAAAACTTATTTTTATTACTTTGTTGGACTTTGTATACTCTAGCCAAAGTAAATAAATAAATTAAATTAAATGCCACTAGCATGTAGTTGAGTAAAAATATGTTAGGAATATAGTCTGGCCTCAGCTTGAACTGAACCTACTGAACTGAGCATTCACCATTGAGTAATGATGTCCCCTGGTCACCATCCCCACTAGGCGGTTCTGAGACCACAAGGAGGAGTTGAAGAAGTTACCAACAGACAGAAGTGCCCCTCCATACATAAAAAATTGCCAGCACCCTACCCATTTTCTCAAATGAAAATATACTTATCGTTTTGTCTGTTTTTAAAGGATAATTCATACATAGAAAATTCAAACAATACAAGAAACTATGAAGCATGGGGAAAGAAAATCACTTGAATTCCTAAAAATCACTTGAATTGACTCCTATATATGCTGTTTTGAAACTTGTGTTTTTTTTTCCCTTCACTTATCATGAGACATTTTCATGTCGATTATTAGCACCTGCACACATTTCCACTGCATAGGTGTACCAGAATTTAATTTAAACGATGCTGTGTTAATGATATTTCGGTTTTTTCCATTAGGAGTCCTTGGGAGGTTAAGTGCTGCACTTCTAACCAAAAGAGTGGCAGTTCAAACCCACCCAGAGGTGCCTCACAAGACGGGCCTGGCAATATGCTTTCGAAGAGTCACAGCCGATGTAACTAACAACAGGCTGTTTCCAATATTTTGAATGTATCAACAACAACACAGTGGAATCTTTATATATACATTTTTGAAAAGCTGTCTGCTCACACCCTTAGGTTAAATACTTAATAGTGAAAATTTTTGATAAAAAATATACACTTTAAAAATTTTAATAACTACTGGCAGACTGCTCTTCAAAAGTGATTAGAGCCAGTATACATCCCCTCCAAAAATCAGACTACTCATTGAATGTTTTCTTAGTCTTTTGCAATTACATAGGTTAAGAGAGGCATATCTTGTTTTTCTTTGCATTCTTTGATCACTAATGAAGTTGAATATATTTTTATATGTCAATTTTCATTTCAATTTTTTCTTCTATGAATTGCATGTTTCTTGTCATTTGCCCATTTTTTTCCTATTGAGGTGTTCACTTTTTATTATTGATTTGTAGATTTTCTTTGTATGTTTAAGATGTTAACCCTTTATCTCAAATGAGTAGGAAGTATTTTTCAGCTTATGAAATATATTTTAGCTTTAATTTTAGTGTTTTTTAAATATAGTACTGAAGTTTTGAATTTTTACATAGACAAGTCTGTGACTGTCTCCTTAATGCTATCTGACTTTCATTGCTGTCTGGCTTTCCATAAAGTAAAGTTAAAAGTATACTATGTTCGTCTATATTTTAGTATATCATTCTTGTGACTTTATTTTTTACATTTAACAATCTTTTCTTTTTGTAATATTATTTGTTGTTGAAGAGAAACCTATTAGGATATAGCTTTTGTTTTCTCTCCAAATTACTAGCTGGTTATATCTACAGTGTTTATTGCCTAGGCCACATTTTCCCACTGATTTGAAAAGCTAATCAGTAAGGAAATTGGTTTTTTTTTTCATTCTTATTTTTAGGAAAGCTCATGAAAATGTGTGAAAGTTTTAATGATACCCTTGTTTGTCAGTTTGTCATACTGTTGGGGCTTGCCTGTTGCTGTGATGCTGGAAGCTATGCCACCAGTACTCAGATACCAGCAGGGTCACCAGTGAGGGACAGGTTTCAGCTGAGCTTCCGGTCTAAGACAGACGAGGAATGTGGAAACTATCAAACAATATCATTAATATAACACATAAGTAAAATTTGCTGAAGATCATTCAAAAGCGGCTGCAGCAGTATATCAACAGGGAACTGCCAGAAATTCAGGCTGGATTCAGAAGAGGACGTGGAACCAGGGGTATAGTTGCTGATATTAGATGGATCTTGGCTGAAAGCAGAGAATATCAGAAAGATGTTTACCTGTGTTTTATTGACTATAAGAAGGCATTCGACTGTGTGGATCATAACAAATTATGGATAACATTGCAAAGAATGGAAATTCCAGAACACTTCATTGTGCTCATGAGGAAACTGTACATGGATCAGGAGGCAGTCATTCGAACAGAACAAGGGGATACTGTGTGGTTTAAAATCAGGAAAGGTGTGCATCAGGGTTGTATCCTTTCACCATACCTATTCAATCTGTATGCTGAGCATATGATCCAAGAAGCTGGACTGCATGAAGAAGAACGAGGCATCAGGATTGGAGGAAGACTCATTAACAAACTGCATCATGCAGATGACACAACCTTGCTTGCTGAAAGTGAAGAGGACTTGAAAGCACTTACTGATGAAGATCAAAGACCACAACCTTCATTATGGATTACCTCAAGATAAAGAAAACAAAAATCCTCAGAACTGGACCAATAAGCAACATCATGATAAACAAAGAAAAGACTGAAGTTGTCAAGGATTTCACTTTACTTGGATCCGCAATCATGGAAGCGGCAGTCAAGAAAACAAAAGATGAATTGCATTGGACAAATCTACTGCAAAAGACCTCTTTAAACTGTTGAAAAGCAAAGATGTCACCTTGAAGACTAAGGTACGCTTGACTCAAGCCATGGTATTTTCAGTCCCCTATATGCATGCAAAAGATGGACAGTGAATAAGGAAGACCAAAGAAGAATTGATGCCTTTGAATTGTGGTGTTGTCGAAGATACTGAATATACCATGGACTGCCAAAGAACGAACAAATCTGTCTTGGAAGAAGTACAACCGGAATGCTCCTTAGAAGCAAGAATGAGTAGACTGCATCTTACGTATTTTGGACATGTTATCAGGAAGGATCAGTCCTGCAGAAGGACATCATGCTTGTATAGTGTCAGCAAAAAAGAGGAAGACCCCCAGTGAGATGAATTGATACAGTGGCTGCAACGATGGGCTGAAGCATAACGATGATTTTGAGCATGGTGCAGGACCAGGCAGTGTTTCATTTTGTAGTACATAGGGTCACTATGAGTCGGAACCAGCTCGATGGCACCTAATAACAAGTAAGTGTTAGAGTGGTTTTCTGCTCTCAGAGAAAGAGAAAATACATTATACAAGTAAAGCAAAGTAAAATAAAATAACAAAATCCTTTATTTTTCCATGTCTTTTAGACAAAATCTTTACCAGTATAGCTGTAGCATTTTTTTGCATGTGTGCTGGGTTGGAATCACTAACGGAGGAAGAGTGGTTGAGGCCGAGAGTAGGGAAGTAAGATAGCAGGATTTTCCACCATGTAGGACGTTGTCAACCATTGTAAGGACTTTAACTTTTACTCTGGGGAAAATGAGAAGTCATTGGAAAATTTTAAGTTGAAAAATAGCATGATGTGATTTACCTTCTAAAAATATTTTTCTGGTAGCTGTGATGAGAACACAATGTGGAGGCACAAGATTGGAAACGGAGACCACTAAGGAGGCAGTTGCAATTTAATGCAGGAAAGATATGGTAATGGTTCAGGGTGGGGTGTTAGCAGTGGAAGTGGTGAGCAATGATCCTGATAGATTTTGCAGGTAGAGACAACAGGATTTACTGGTGAATCAGACGTGGACTGTTGTAGAAAAAGAGAAGTCCAGGATGTCTCCAAGGTTGGTTTGGGTAGAGCATCTGGAAAGAGAGAGCAGCCTTTCATTTTTTGATATGGGGAAAGACTAGGAGAAGAACACTCAGAAATCACAGGTATGGCTTTGGATATATTTAGCTGGAAATACAAATAGACATCCAAGTACAGATATAAACTAGGTGCATAGGTGCATGAGTATGGAGTTCGTGGTCTGGGGATATAAATTTGGAAGTATTCAGCAAAAAGATGATACTTATAGCCTTAAGACAGAATGAACTCATCATCAGAATGAGTGAGGATGCATAGAGAAGGAAAGAGTACTGAGGACTGAGCCTTGGTATATTCCAACATTTAGGGATCAGGAAGAATAGGAGGAAAAGCAAACGATACTAATAATAAGGAGGAAAATAGTACAATCAAGAGAGGAGTTTATCTCGGATGCCAAGGAAAGAAAGTATTTCAAGATGGAGAGCATATCAGGTATTTTTAATGGTGCTGGTGGTAAATGATCAACTAAGATGGACACCAAGACATGACTGACTGTTTAGCAACACAGAAGTCATTGGTGAAGTTGACAAGAACAGTTTCAGTGGACTGGTAGAGATGGAAGCATAAGTAGATTGTGTTCAAGAGAGAATGAGAGGAGATGAAGTGGAGACAACAAGTATAGACAATTTTTTTGGAAGTTTTCCTGTAAATAGGAGCAGAAAAACAAATTAGTATCTGTCTTAGGCTGGATTCTCTAGAGAAGCAAAACCAGTGAAACGTGTATATAAATTTATAGAGAGAGATTTATCTCAAGGAAATCGCTTACCTGGCTGTGGAGGCTGGCATATCCCAAATCCATGGGTCAGGTGTCGGGCTGGAGGCTTCTCCTGATGTATGTGGTTGCAGAAGCTGACAAACCCAAGATTGGCAGATCGGACAACAGTCTCCCGGCTCACAGGGCTGCAGAAGCAGGCAAATACCAGAATCGACAGGTCAGACGACAGGCTGGTAGCTCAGGTCCCAAGAACTGATGGTCAGATGATGACAAGTCAGATACAGGAGATGGTATACTGGGCTATACTAAAGACCCATTTAAGGTTAGTGGGCTTGAATTCAAAGGAAGTCAGTCAGTATGATTGTGTGTGTGTGTGTGTGTGTTTTTTTTCCTCCAGCCATTGTTGACTTCATAGCTACAGCTGTGAAATAAGCAGAAACATGGGTTTAACTATAGTTGGGATTTTCCTAGTTGAGAATGACAAAGGGAGCAAAGCAAAGGCACTGAAGATACATGCAAGGGAATGATTGAAATGATGGATCATGGAATATAAACTGGGGAAGAAGTGAAGCT